GAGGGAGCTTCATTTCTCAAACTTTCTGGAGCAGATATTCTTGGTCATTTTCGAAGGATGGGTGCTGGACTTGGCACATTTCCCTGAGAAGATTGTTCCGGCAGTAAATAGTGGTTTTTTGATGGAATTATGTATTTGTATTCGGCAGTGCCTCACGTACGATCAAAGCTGGTCCGATTTGGTACGATAGCGCAATCCACTGTGAATCCACCTTGAGCCAGCGTTGATCAACGGTGGCCATACTACTTCGTATAGAAATCGTACAAATTCTATCGTACGTGAAGCAATGCTCATTTGTATTACGCCCTGCTACCAATTTTGATTCTTGTTCTCTGGTAATCTACAGAACATGAATTCTAACTGTGTCCAACCATAAGGGCAGGACGCATCCCTCATTTTGTCATGTATTTGTTTTTCTCTTGAGTTTCTATGAAAGAGATAGTTGTTAGGCTCCGTAAAACCAATAGAAAGTATGAAACAATAAACATCCGGATGCTGTTACCTTTTTCCTAAATTAGTCCTTTCAAGTTGAAACCCTTCCTCACTTTGGACTGCTTCTAGCCCATTTGATCATTGCATTGTCTCTATTATCCGTCTTCTCTGCTTCTTTGGTAAAGCTCACCCAGCTAGCGCTAGCACATGCTGATTTCCATCTGCATGTACCAGTAGGAGAGGTGAGTGGTGCCGTGGGTTGAGGAAAATGATGTACAAGGGGAAGTCAAGGAAAGAGGTGTTGCCCCGAAGGATCTCATCAAGTGTAGGCGCGAGCGTGCACTTGAAAGGGATGAGGCGGTGGAGGGGTGTCGTTATTGTATACAAGACATGACTTCAAATACAGGAGACGTGCATTGCACGTGCAAGCTTACTAGTGGTTGTAACACAAAGAAAATATGACTTGGTACATTGGTAGTATCATTTTTGCCACAGAAATATTTCACATTTAATTTGCAAACATCGAAACTTTGGAAGTAATGGAGAATCATTTTTTTAGAAGATTCAGAGAAACATCCTTCGCGGACAATAATTTTTTTTTTGAGAAATGCGAACAGACTATTATAGTAGTAGGAAACTCCCTCAAAAAACAAGTAGGAAAACGAACGGATGCAACGGGCTGCGCTAAACCTTGATAGTCTGTGAAAGCCCGTTCTAGTCCTCATGCGCGATCGTGGCCCGTTAGGTTATCTCATCCTGCAACTCGTACCATAGATCGAGGATGGAGGATTTTCTCAAAAAAAAAAAAAAGATCCAGCATCCCCAACGACCTCCTCAACATAATCTACCCCGGCTTCGTCGCTGGTCCGGTGGACCGTGTCCGCTTTGCGGCCGTGTGCACATCGTGGCACGCCGTCACGTCAAGGCACCCTCCATGCCACGTCCTCCCATGGCTGCTCCTCGATCCGAGCAAGGCGAAGTACTAGTGTTCCCTCCAAGCTGGCGTTGTCCTGCAAAGCTTCCGTGATCCCAAGCAAGGCCATCGGCACACGCTTTGTTGGCACCCACGACGGCGGCTGGGGCGTCGCCTCCTGGGGCTGGGACCGATTGAGGATCGTGAACCTATTCACCGGTGCCGAGAGCTTCGACAACCAGTTTGTCCCGCTTAAGGTAATAATCTCCTCGACACCCACGTCGCGCCACTGTATCGATCCTCGCTGCCATCACCTACAACTATGAACTTGTGATTTGCACGCTTGGCCAACAATGCATGTATGTATGCCCCAAAGCTTTCGTCGGACGGGGTCATGGATATTGCCTTCTGCAATAGTCAACTTTTCTGCCTCATGTCAGTTACCAAGAAGATCGTCATGTTTGAGGCCATCTTGGATGAACGTGCTGTGCTTGTGTTCAGTCCCGGCCGGCTTCATATACAAAACAAGCACAGCACAGCACGTTCCATTCCTCTCCGCTTCGCCAGCAGGTTCCAGCAAGCAAACCCCGTGCAGAGCTCTGATTCACTGGTCGGTTGAACGAGCTAGGGATCTCGTTGCGGCAGGCGGTGGTCGGCATGGCATGGATCATGCTGGCCCCTTGGTGCTGTCGGCGGCAAGGGTGGTCGTGGTAGCGCCTCGGTAGGCTCAGATGGATGCAACCGGTGGTGGCGATCATGTGTGCTTGGGGCCAGATCCGGCTACCCCAATTTTACTCATTCCAGTGATGTTGCGGTACTCGGTGTTGGTGTCCCTTTTTCAGGCGTGGGGCAGTGGCGCTGCCACATGGCTGCGTGCTGCAGCTCACAGTGTGGCATTGTGTTGCATGTTGCATGAAGGTTGGCCGGTTATGAGGTAGGCCCGCTCTGGGCCTACGGCTGCGGCTCTTGGTTGTTGGGCAAGGCAGGTGGTGGGCACAATGGAGGCATGTGGTCATGGTGGTTGTGTAGCGGGGAGGTGCACAACCATGGTGACGGCTCCTCAGTGGGTGTAGTGGTCATGCTGGCGTGGTGGTGCCGCGGGTGCCGTAGTAGGGACTTGTGGTTGGCCTCAACGTGTTGGCTTAGCAGGGTGCCAGCTTCGGTGGTGGGGTTTTGTTGGCATCTCTTTGGTCATTCCTCTATGCTTTGGTGTGGTTGTGTAGTCCTTCTGCTCTCATCTTGTATGGTTCTTTAGTTATGCAAAATAGAAAATTCTCTTTGTTGCTGTGCCGGAATGTAATGGATAGAAACTACTTGAATTGTATTTTGGCTGATGATGATCCCCATTTGTTATGCCTGAATGGCAGTGTGGCCATGTTCGCCTCCTAGTTTGCTTCCCTTGCATTTGAACAAACTGTATTTTTCACCGCACAGCACATAACTGTCCGACGTCCTTCATTGCCTTCCTGAAACGTTAATTAGCAGAAAACGGGTTAACACGCACGCAAAACTTATTACCAGTACAAAATGGAAAAACGAAGGAATTTAAGTCTTACTTGTTGGCTCAGGTAAATATTTTTTTACAAACGTGCTCAATCTTTTGCCAGTTTGGATGTCCGACTGTTTGGCAGGACTCCATGAACTCATCATCCAAGTATGCTAGACGAAGCCCCTCGAGAGACTGGGGCAGTGTTGGAAGCGACCGGACATTCGGGCATGAACTAACCACCAGTTCCCTGAGTGATGTGAGGTGCTCCATGTTTCCTGGTAAGGCGTCCCAGCTGCAGTTCCAAAGCTTTAGCACATGAAGATGTGGGAAAGACTCAACAAGCTGAGGAGCAGGCCCCAGTTGTCCCCAATCCCACAACACAAGTTCTTGCAGGCAGCCGTACTGCTTACCCACCATCCAATCTGGGTACCTCGTACCTTGATAGTTCCATATTTCCAGTTTTTTAAGTCCTAGGGGAGGGCACAGGCCCTCAAGTACCTCTGCATCAACTTCTCGACTGCACCTATTGGAAGCATTACAACTCCACCGCAGTTCCAATTCAGTGAGCCGTTCCTTGGCAGCTAGATTGGCTTCAAGAGCTTCCTCCTTGCTTCTAACATTTTCAAGGCCCTTGATGTGCAGGTAGCCACGAAGCTTGTTTAGGTCCCTCAGCTGTTTTATATCATAACCTTCTTGTAGGTTGCTTACTTTGAAGTCTCTTAGAGTGTGGAGTGATATAAGCCCGCCTATGTTAGGAAGTTGGAACCGAGACATTATGTACCGCAAGTGGACATGAACACCAAAGTTAAACTCAACATAGCCATCGCCAAAATCTAGGAGCTGGACATGCTGAAGTTTACGTATTGTGCTTGGTAAAATTACCTTCGGATAGCCATAGTTGCTTATCCTAAAAGCAAGATAGTGTAGGTGCTTTAGCTGACTAATGGATTCTGGGACCGAGAACTTGTTGCATACGTTGATCTTGATTGCAACAGGTTCCTGGCTGAAAGCAATCGCAAGCACCCGCAATTTCAGCAGCCTCTTGCATATACTCTCAATCACTCTTTCCTCAACTAGTGTATCCTCTTCAACACCATAAACAATGAGAGTACACAAATTTTCCAATCCAAGGACCTTCCCGGTAATCAACTTTGTATCATATTTCTCAACAAAGAGATGCTGGACATCTCGAGGGACATCTCCGTTCCATCCTTCTCCTCCTTGGCTACCTGCATTTTCGATTCTGAAGCAATTTCGAGCGACCTTGTCTAATAAACCATGCACCACATCATGAATTGTGAAACAACCAATCTTATCCCAAGTTTGTTCTGGTTGTAGAAATGAGCATGACACTAACTCTTGAATGTAGCCCTCAGCCACATCTTCCATGTCCTCTGTTGCACAACTCGTCTTTACAAACCCTTGCGCCATCCACAAAGCAACTAACTGATTCCTTCTCAACTTGCATCTTCTGGGGAAAATACTGCAGTATTCTAAGCATCGCCTGATGTCTGGATTAAGCCGCTGATATATAGACCAAATTGAACGCATCGTCTCATTCAATTTGTGAACCTTTGCATTCAACATGTCAAGCTTTGCAGTATTTTTCCAAAAACTGTTATATGGGGTTGTCTCTGCCACTGTAACTGCAGTGACATTCTCCTGCAAGAAGCAAAATTTCAAATGAGTATGCCATTAACGTATCTGTTCTATTTAATAGAGATATATGGAATTTATCACTATATCAATAGTTACAGGAACCAAGCGGCAAGCTTGGTAAGTTATAGGTCGTTTAGATGAGAACTCACCTCCGAGCTTGCCGCTCCTGGCGTGTTAGGCGTATCTTGACGAAGTCCATTTGGAGCATGTTCGGCCTATACAAATAACCAATAGGCATATCATCTTATTTATTACTGGCTCCGAGCAACAAAAGTGCAAATCAAGGTGTACAAAAGCTCTCAAGAATAAGTTTTGTGGGAGGGATGCCACGAGAGTGATTGTACCTGGTGTGAGAGTGATCGTACCTGATGGTTTCTGTTTCAGCAAGTCTATTGATTACATATTGCGTATCTGGTCTCTTCGCCGGGTTGAAGTTGGTGCACTCTATTCCTATCTCAGCACATACTCGAACCTGTTCCAGCTGTACATTGCTCTGTGATTTCCCCATCACGTTACTCCAACTTCCAACAACCTACAAATTGAATTTGTGAGTTACGAAAAGAAGCACCATTATTTTAAATGTGATATATATGATGTTAACAGCTTACACAAAACCACATCAACTAAGACTTCAAACTAACAATAAATTTCACATATCGGAACATACAACGTATCAATTCAATAAAGAAGAAAGAAGCATCCAAATTCAGGTTGGAGATAAGTTGGACACGGATGATGAGATTGTACAACCATTCTCCAACAGAAAAAAGCTTTTCATTTTTTTTGTTCCATTTGTAAATCTCGGTCTTATCCTGATGCTCGTAAAGTCGAAAATATATGTTGTTTGATCCTTACGCATCCATTTTTTTCCGCCGTTCAATTTGTTACCAAGAATTATATTAGGCAGTATAAAGGTAGATTCGGTCATGGACCATTGATTTGTTACAAGTCACATGTTGAACCATGTTTTTGAAAACACACCACATCAAACTAAATTTTACAGCTGAAATTATGATTTCACTCTGATTTAACTTGCCAATTTTTGGGATTGTGAGGTGCTAAATAATGGCGTAACATGAAAATACATGAGATGTAGTTCAACATGTCTTTCTAACCACCTTTTTTTAAAGACTAACCACCTCTTTTTGAAGTGTGGCAGAGTTGTGCGTGCCCTCCATCCAGCGGAGGTTCAAACCATAACTTTCATATTTATAAGGTTGTAGATCTCATACATAAAAAATATATTTTACGATCTCGTATGTATAAAAATGATGTAGAATCTCTATGTCTTTCACTCATAACGTATAGTCCATGTGGATTTATTGCTAAAAATGAAAGACAATAATATTATGCTGCATGTAAAAGAGAATATAGTAATGCATTGGTTTTGAAGTACAACCTTTATTTTCGAAATAAGAATTAAATTGTTCTTACATTGTCAACAGCGTGGTACCCCTTCTTTCCAGTCAGTATCTCTATGATTATTACACCGAGACTGTAGATATCAAACTGGTACGTGATTACACCGTTACCAAATTCTGGTGCCAAATATCCCCTATATCAAATATATATCCGTGTGATTGATCAATGACAAAGATACTACAGTCTAATTATAAAGCTTAGTGGAAATAAAGTTTGAACTTTAAAGGGGCTTAGAAAACTTACAATGTTCCGGCTATGTTCTCGGTAATAACCTGGCTTTGCATTTCACCAAAGCACCTCGATAGACCGAAATCAGCAATTTTTGCCACCAAATTATCATCCAACAATATATTTGCCGGCTTTAGATCTAAGTGGACAATATTTTTCTGATGAAGATAGTGTAATCCCTGACAAACTCCTTCAATAATACGATATCTGTCTCTCCACGGAAGTCCGCTAGATGTATCTACAAAGGGGAAAGAATAAAGGAAGTTCAGTATTATGTGAAATACTTCAAGTCCTTATGTTCAATTGTACAAAGAGTGTACGACATGGTGAGTACTATATGGATACCCAACCAAACAAACTTTAACAGTGGAAACAAAGGTTAAAATAAAACCAGTACATAGTACATAATCCTACCAGTGATATACTCATGCAGACTCCCTTTAGGAAGATACTCGAAGCAGAGCAACCTTTGTTGTACATCTGCCATGACGAATTTTCCATCGTACTTCTCCATACTCCCTTGTGTGTCAGCACAATATCCTAGAAACCGTACTACATTTTTGTGCTTGACCATCATGAGACATTCAACTTCTCGCTGGAACTCCTTCTCGTACATATACGTATTGGACATCCTCTTCACGGCCACAGTCCTGTTCTCAAGCTTTCCCTGCAGCGCAGAGATGCATTATGAGCAACAACTTCAGCTTTCAGATGAACTTTCATTGAGACCAGGCCAGCTCAAAGTTACCGTACCTTATAAACCACCGCAAATCCACCTCTACCAATTTCCTGCTCATCAGAGAAATCACCTGTGATTTCTTCCAGGAGCGACAGTGGCAGAGTCTTGGGCTCTGCCGTTTCATCACATAGCATGCACTCCAGGTCCCTTGGTGTAATACCACTAGAACGACGATCCATTTGCAGCTACATGCCGGGGTACCCTGAAAAAAGAACAAGTGCATCATTTGGGATAATCATGCGAATCATAAATACACAATGCACACACCTCTGTTTTTTGCAACAGAAAGCAGCAACAGTTCTATTGATTCAGATCTTGTTTGGACTTTGGGTACTAAAGCTGATTAGGTCCATCCAGATGAGCAGGGGGTTTGAACTCAAATGTCCTCTAACAAACACACAGTAATTAAACTGGATCCAGGCATGGACACGAATTGTTTGCTTGTCAGAATTGCCTGCATGATGAGCAATTCAGAGCCGTGTTGTGGAGAGGGCAAGAGAGATCTTGCTTTCATTCTCTTTATAGGAAAGAAAACTTGGAACTCTCAAGTATACTAGACTACTATATGCAATTATTGACACTTCTCTAATAGCCCAAGAGCCTCTCACATGCATCACCCACTCACTGCAACCATTACTGTTACTGTTATTTTGCAGTCATTATTATTACTGTTACTAAGAGGGCATGTCCAAGAAAATTTCCAACCTTTTTCAAAAAATAAATCCTTGCAAGCTGCTCTGAGGAATGTGAGCAGCTCAACTCACTATGACAGGCACACTGTGAGGAGTAAACTGGAATGAACATGAATGTTTCGTTATGGAAAGCACAGTGATGAACAAATAAGATGTGTACTACTACAGCCCAGCAGCATACAGTTTCTGAGCTTCTTGATTAAGTTGTCAGTGTACACTAGTCAATTGTTTGCTTAAATTTATAAGGTTTATAAGTTCTTCGAGTAAAAAAGAATGAACATGAACTGATGGGCCTCTGTTGCAAATAATACAGCCAACAGCATTCAGGTTCTCGGCTTCCTCGACAGATACTGTTGCAATTTCGATTGGTAGAAAACAAGCACTCAAATAACCTCCCTGTATGCAGGTGACTGAATCAGGAGAACAAATTGGATCTGGAACAAATTAGAAGAAACACGCAAGACTCCTATTTGTTTGGGTACTAAAAGCTGATTCAGTCCATTAGGATGATTTGAACTTAAATCCTATCTAACCGTTGTGAGCAACATGAATCTGTTGTTTGCTAATTTCCTCTCATTCTGAAACATTATGGACATGTTTTTGCTCTTGGAATATTAGAGAAATGTCCATAACTGTTTATTGTAGCCTACCAGTTACAGTTCAGAGTTCATGAATCAGCGAAGATGTGGAAGCTAGTAGTAGTAGTAAATAACTCCAGATACATATAAGCGTCAGCTATACTGTTTGCTTGACAGCACAGTAGCTCCTTTCCTCTCACGATTAGCAAAAGAAACACACAGATCGCCTCCCTGCATACAGGCATTGACTGAATCTGGAGAACAAACTGGATCTGGACTCTGGAGAAGATCCTGGGTCTAGAAAAGAAGAATCTGGCGAAGCTTGTCTCAAAGAAATTAATTACCTGGCTAGCTTGAGCCTGATGTATGGAGAAGACCGGATAGGGGACAGATCATCTATTCATCTGTCCGTCTTGCGGGAGTCCCTTGGCGAATCCCTGGTTTCAATTTGCACACAGAGCTTGGGTGACGGATCATCTATTCATCAGTCGAGCTGATGTAGGGAAAAGATCGGATAGGGGACATCCTTTTCTATAGGGGTGAAGAGGAGATCTAGGAGGAAGAAGATGGCAAGAAGCAGCTCTGTCCGCAATAATGGAGGAGGGGGAAGCTGGCAAGAAGCAGCCTGATCTGTCCGCAATAATGGAGGAGGGGGAAGCTGGCATGAAGCAGCCTCTGTGCGCAGTAATGGAGGAGGGAGAAGACGGCCAGGTCCGTAGTAACGGAGGACGGAGAAGATGGCAAGAGCAGCGTCTCTGCACTGAACAGTTTACCTACTCCCTTTTTTTTTGAGACACACCTTGGATGGGTATAACCGAAAAAGGCTTTCGCCCCGCTTTATATATAAAGCAAACCGTCCGAGCCAAGCATCCAACAAGGTTCATAAGAGCATCTTCAGCCGCGCCCTAACAAGGCCCCCCAGGTGACTTTTCGGTCGCCGGCGCCAAAAAATCGGCCCAGTCACGCCCCTAAGGGCCCAATTTTCGCCGGCTCGGGCCAAAATTGGCGCTGGCGGACCCAACCCGAACCCGGCGCGTTGGGGGGCGCTCGGGGGCACCGGGCGAATCGTTTTTGGCGCGAAAGAGCCGCGGGCCCTCCTTGCCAGCGACTCGTCTCGCTTCTCGCCGCTTCGTTGTCTCATCGCCTCGTTTCCCGCGGCAAATCAATGCCAAAGCTGTCGCGCGCTGCCGCGCCGGTCAGCCTCCGCCATTGATGCCTCACGGCTGGCTCAGTGAAGGCGTGACGACGCGCGTCCCCGCGCATGCCACGCGTAGACGAGGCCGCCACGCGTGCTCGCGCCGCCTCCGCCTATATAAACCGACCCCAGCGCACAGGGTCTCCACCGCCGACGCGCCCTATCTCCCCTTCCTCCCTCTCCCCTCGTCGCCCCAGTTCGTAAAAATGGCCGAACGATTCCCAGGCGACGGCGCGGCGGCGAACGGCTTCGGCCGCCGCCACCTTCACGAAGACGAAGCTCGCCTCCTCTTCGAGGCCGAGTACCCGGTCCCGCCGGACATGCGGGTGCCCGGGGCGTGGAGAATCAGCGCCGGCGGGGTCCCGGTGCCACCACCGCCTACCGGGGCGGCGCGTCATGCAGAGATCGTGCGTATTCGCGCCTCTCTGCCGCGGGCGGCGAGGGAGGGGCTGCGCTACGTCCCCGACAGCCCGCTCTGGGAGCCCTACTTCCGCCGCCGTCACGCCGAGCAGCTCGAGGCCACCAACGGCGTCGTGCCCTCCGGCTGGCTTAACTCCGAGGGGCGGCGACGATGGTGGGGCGTGCCCGGCCGCACGCTGGAGGCCGTCCTCGAGTACATCGAGGGCGGCAACACGCCGAGGCTGGAGTACCCCTCCCCACCGTCCTTCTCTCGCCGCCGTGGGAGCTCGTGGACGCCGAGGCGCATGGACCCCGGGGCGTCCTCCTCCTTGTCCGGTCGGTCGACCGGCTCTCCCTGCCTCCGCCCCGTCAAGCCAGAGCCCCAGGAGCCCCAGGACACGCCTGTCAGCCGGCGCACCCGCAGCTCCGATATCCGTATCGCCGACTCCGCCCCCGCTTCCGGGCGCCTCGTCCTCGTCGCGCCCAAGCCGGAGCCCAGCCTCCCCCGGAGTACGAGGAGATAGCCCGACGCGGCTTCTCCGACACGGACGCCCTGCGGTGGGCGCGCGACGACTACCTCCGGACGGAGATGACCCAACAGACCCGGGCCCTGGAGGAGATCGCCGCCCGCAAGCGTGGGCGCGAGGACGAGCACCGTGTCGTGATCCTCGACAGCGACGACAAAGTGGACGCCGCCGGACCGTCCAACCCGCCGCGCCAACCGGGGGAGGGTTGCAGCAGGGACGGCGGCCACGACAGAGGCGGTGACGACGACGACGATGACGACGATGGCGGCAGCGACTACACGCGGTTCTACAGCCTCCTCGGCCTGTAGAACTGCAAGGGCGGCGACCGGCGAGGAGCGGCGAGGCGAGCGAGATGGCGGGCGGGCCTAGTGGTGTGTTTTTTTGTAAAATACTTTAAATATGTATGAGCGGGCATGTTTGTGCCGTGTTTGGTCGAATTTGGTTTGAAGTCGCTGAAATATGCATGAACTCGCCGTGTTTGCGCCATTCAAAAAAATCTCGTGGGCACCGTGACTGGGTGGCATCATGCCCCCAGCGCACGTTTTGCGCCAGTGCGCCCCCAGGGGGCGATTTTTAGCCCTTCCTGGGGGGCCAACGGCTGGAGATGCTCTAACACACACGCAAGGTGCACACACATACATAGTATCGAATGAGGTTAATGCTGAGGGCATAGCTCAATAAGCCCTGAGCAAAAGAGCACACACACACACACACACACGCACAGCCGCCCGAAACAACAGGCCTAATCGGACTCCGGTGGAGGGGGCGGTAGCGGAGGCGCCATGAGAAGGCCATCGTGCGGAAGTCGGTGACGAGGGTGTCGATGGCGTCCCGGTCCTGGGTGCGGCTAAGCGGCCGCCAAAGCTACAGGTAACCACACAGTTTAAAGATCGCGTCAGTCGCACGTTGAAGAGGCACTTTTTGAATGACAAGCTTGTTGCGGATGGTCCAAAGTGTCCAGGCGAGGACCCCAACGCACAGCCACCTAATGTGGCGGTGCCGGGGTCGGAAGCTTGGATTTTGGCTAATAGGTCTGGGAAGTTCGTGTTACACCAATGTCCACCGACCGTCTCGTGAAAGCAAGACCACAGGAATTGGGCCATAGAGCAGGAGAAGATGTGATTAGCATCTTCCATAGTGCCACAGAGGGGGCACATCCCATCTCCTGGGCCATTATGCTTGAGGACGTCCACCCCAGAGGGGAGGCGTCATCGAATCCATTGCCACATGAAGATCCAGACCTTCAGAGGGACTCGGATGTCCCAGATTAGGCTAAACGGCTCAGGGGCCGACGAAGGGGCGATGGCCGAGTATAAGGATTTTGTGGAGAAGCGGCCGGTGGACTCCAGCCGCTAAGATAGGGAGTCAGGAGCACCCTCCATGTCCATCGATAGAAGAGCGATGTCCTGGAGGAGGGAGTCCCAGGCGGCCACCTCTTGGGGGCCGAAGGGGCGCCGGAAAGCGAGCCACCCTAAGTCAATAAGGGCCGTCTCGACGGAGACCCGAGGGTCAAGCGCGATGAAGAATAATTCCGGGAATCGGGCGGCCAGGAGAGAGTCCCCCACCCAACCATCAAACCAGAACAGCGTCGCAGAACCGGAGCCAACACTAGTAGAAAAAGGGCCTAATGTGAAGCACATTAGTCCCGGTTTGTAACAAAACCGGCACTAATGTGATCATTAGTGTCGGTTCCAACGGCTAGTGTCGGAAATATGCCCTAGAGGCAATAATAAATTAGTTATTATTATATTTCCTTGTTCATGATAATCGTTTATTATCCATGCTAGA